TTCTTTCTTTCTTTCTTTCTTTCTTTCTTTCTTTCTTTCTTTCTTTCTTTCTTTCTTTCTTTCTTTTTTTTTTTTGTGGGTGGGTGCTGGGGGATTGAACTTAAGGACCCATGCTTGTGCAGTGAGCACTTTCCTGACTGAGCCACCTCTCCAGCCCTCAAACGTGTTTTAAATCCTGGAGGCTTTGCCATCAGGGCATCCCTATTGGAAGAAATCATGGACTTTATCACCAGAAAAACATCCATTTTTAAAGCTTTGGACCAACCATCTGTGTAACTGAGGCCTCTAGCTTCTGACATTTTTCAAATCTTTAAGCTTCTCTGGGCCTCAATGCTCTGGCCAGTTCTAGTTGGGTGTTTTACCAATGTCTTCTCCCCAAATGGTGCCCAACTGAGGTTAGTACACCTTCATCTGTACCGTGTGGGTAGCTCAGAACCTGGGGTAAGATACATGATCTCTAAGCCATATGGAGCTATCGTGTCTATTACCTCATAGTCATGGTAGAAGTCGAAGGAATCATAAAGTATATCATAACAGAGTAGCAAAAAAATTGAAAATAAAAGTGAGGTAGGATGACTCAGCGTGAGGGGGAATATTAAGCCTTCTACACACTGAAAAAGACAGTATCCACTTGGTCCCCCCAAACCTTCAGTCAGTAGTATCTGTCTTCTATTTCCACCCCAGGTCCTAGAAGAATCACCAATGGACAGCTTTCGCATGTTATGTGGATAACCCTATTCGCCCCCTAGTTTGTTACTCTCGGCTAGATAAAGCTGTCTTCAATTATATTAATTTATCTCCTAATTTAATTTGTCACAAAACACATTGGTTCAGGAATATATCACGTTCCACATGCACAGCTTCCCCGTGGGAAGCACGGAATTGCAACCTTGTCTGCACAATTGTTCCCCGCGTTTGAAATGGAGTCTTTGCATTCTCATGAACGTATCCTTCAAGCGGGGTACACATTTGCACCCTGAACCTGAAGTCTCTGCAGGAACGTGTAAAAAGCTCAAACAGCGTCCATCTCACAAAACTGAGATCAGGAGCTCTGCGGGTGGGGGATACGGAAGTTTTGTCTTGACCATTCCTGGACAGCCTTCAGTACCGCCCAGACCTCTGTGCAGGCTAATGTCACAAAATTGCCCGAGTGCTTCTGCCTAGATCCGGAATTCCTTCCTTTCTGAGAGACCTTTTCCCAGGCAGCTGGGTTACTGCTGGCAAGGGCTTTCTGGCCACGCCCATGTCCTGGTCATATTTTACTTTTTGGGTTCCGGCGGATGCCATCTGGCTAGAACCCTGGCGAGAAACTTTAAAGTTAGACTACAGTCACCCCCTACTCCGCATACCCTCCTCTACCCAACCCCTAAAGCCCAAGGCTTGTTGGAGACCCGCAGGAACAGGCAGAGAGAAAGAAATCGGGACCGAGAGAGAGCTCCAGTGTTCCCGCGGTGTGTGTGGGTCCCGGGCCGGCGATCGGCCAGTGTCCAGTGCCCCGGTGCCGTCTTGGGTCAGGCTGGAAGGCCGTGGTGCTGGGTTTGGTCCGGGGCCGGCCTCGCGGTGCAGCCGGCGCAGAGCGGGGACCCTGGGGCCAGCGGAGCAAGAACGGCTTCCAGCGGGGTCAGGCGAGAGAGTCCGGGCGGGCATCTGTGAGCGTAAGGTCCCCCGGTTCAGCGCCTCCCGGCTCCGGGCTCCTCCTCCCGCCGGCCGCGGCCCCGGCTGCGTCGCTCC